CCATGATTTTTACAGCATTTGAAATAAGACTGTAGTTTCACATTTTTAACCTCACCATATGTGCCCAATGTATAGTGTGCATATCATATTTTATTTAGCATTATTTTAATCACAGATGATGTACCAAATATGCTGTGTGCTTTGTGATTTAGGTTAATAGAAGATGGAAAAGAGTTTTTTTTCCCCCTGTGAAGTATATATTTAATAGACCCTTGTGAAAAAGAAATAGACTTTTGCATACGGAAACAATATACACTTTAAAAGAATATCCGCTGGAATGCCACTCTCTCGTGAACACGCGTAAGGCAGTTAGTGGAAGCTAGAGATTACAGTTTATAAAGTTTTAAATATGGATATTTTCTTACACAAATGCATTTATTCGCTTAAGAAGATCTTTATTAACCCCCCAGAGCTGTGTGGAGTATACTTTATGATGGATGGATGCACTTTTTTGGGCTTCAAAATCTCAACACCCATTCACTGCCAGGACATTTTTTATATAACTCCAATTGTATTCGTCTGATAGAAGAAAGTCATATAGGATGCCTTGAGGGTGAGTAAATCGTGAGCTAATTTTAATTTTTGGGTGAACTATCCCTTTAAATGCAATTAGATCAACTTTAGAGTGCTTTTTGGATACTTAAGTTGGACTTATGGTAAACCAAAATATACACCGTAAAAAAAAAATATTTTTGAAGTTATAAAATGAAAACAAACAAAATAAAATATTGGAGTAAGTTTTGCAAGAAAATACTTTTACAGTCTTTTTACAACATTTCCAGTTTAATTCAATTTGACTTGTTTCTTTGTAATTAAGTATTAGTGAAAACTGTTTCTACACCATTTTTCAGTGTACATTCATGTCAATTATATTGAAACTTGTGTCATGTATTTAAATATATCTGTGATTACAATTAAAATACATCAACTTTAAATATAATATTAAATCAAGTAATTAAAAAAATCTCTTTATGTGCACTTAATGTGGCCTTTCATTTCATTAATATTGTATTATGTATACAGTTCAAAAGATACAGTTTAAAAAATACTTTTAAGATTTGAAGTACACTACAAGTGCATATTCCATACAATGAAGCACTTTCAATCAGTATAAACCTAATGTTTCTTCTTTAATTCCCTGGCCAGTGTTTGCAGTTTGAGAAACTCTCAAGATCTCTTCTGAAGCACTAAAGGAGACACTTCTCAGTAGTGTGTGATTAATGGGGTTGTTTACTCAGGAGAAATTTCTGAGATTAATGAGACGCAAGCATTAATAATTGCTTCTCAATTTACCATCTTTCATGGGAGAAAAACTGAGATAATATAAAGCATCTCATTTGTGATGCTTCTTTCCTATGGGGCGGCTGCAGCTGAACCCAACAATAGCGCTGCCAGATACTCACGATGCTTCATCAGTATCTTCCTCCTGTCATTTCTTTTTTTATTGTATGTGTAATTCTGCCATAGTTAAAGCACTAAAGCAATTACAATGTGACGCCTTGGGAAAAGGAAACCCATGAATTAACGCCAGTGACAACCCCGAGAGTGCAAATTAAAACAGAGAGCCCCGGAAAAGCACGACCTACATTGCTCTACTCAGAATCCGCAGATTTTTTCATTTCCACCTGGCGTCTTGCCAGGATCAGGATTTTGCAGCTGTTGGAAGCAATTTGATCTAAAACAGAGGACCGGAAAAAACGTCCATTTATGTCTATTCAAGGCTTCTGTGGACGCCAACAAAACAGCACAGCATCTCACTTCCATTATGAGAAGAAAATCCACACAACTTCCCAGAAAACCCATCTTCTGTGTGATCTGAGAAGTGATAACATGATAAGAGTCTAGACATGTCCAGAATAGAGACACGCACACAAGACAATTTCATTACAGGTCAATCCAGTTATATTTCACTCTGTCAGACTTTGTAAGTTGCAAAGCACACTCATTCACTAGAGAAGAGTTCAAAGACATCAGAGGTGCAACATAGAAAGGGTTTGAACCCACAACCTATCATATGAGGTTTTATCCACAACAGCCAAAAGGGTCTGGCTGCAGCTTGGCGCTTGCACTCTCAGACTCACAACAGCTACAGCTGTGCCAAATGTCAAAGAGATATGGCAGTTTGAGACCAGGCACGTGACTTCAGGACAAAAACCTGGAAAGTTATAAGAAGGTTTATCTGGTTTTTAACATTTATTTCTAAAGATAAATGGACTGTGCCAGACTTCACAAGTCTCAATAAAATTATTGCAGGGCTTTCAAAGGCTCCCATTGCAGAGGAAAGACAATAGGGGAAAAAGAAAACAGCAGCAGGGCAGCATCTACAGCTTTGAATAGACACTGATATTTCTATTAGAATGAATTGAATGGAATATTGCATTAATGTGTCCATTTGTTCAACCATATCGCCCTAGTTTTAACCCCAACTCATGATGGTAATAAAATGAGTAGACAATTAATTATGAGCTCAGACTGACAGGTTAGGACCAATCATGTAGAGATGGATTCTTTGTTCCATTTCTGAAACAAACACATTTTTATTTACTTATGGAAATTATGAGACCAATGATTCATTAGAAGATTTGTCCATTTCTGGCTAATCCACAGAAAGTGTTCTATATTCGCAGGCACTTATTTGGTTTGAGGATTAAACAGTTGATTTTTTTTAAGCAAGTACCCTTTTATAATCATATTCAGATAACGTTGGTTTATAAAAAAGGGGATTAACATACATTCCCTTTCAAACGTTTGAGGTCAGTGACAATTTTCTTTAAAAGAATACTTTTATTCAGCAAGCATGCATTAAATCAGTTTAAAAGTCTCAGAAAAGACATTTATAATGTTACAAAAATTCTGTCTTTTGAACATTCAGTTAAAATAAAAAGGATCACGGGTTAAATATTATAATTTTTTAAATATTTTTATATTAATAAAAACATATTAAGAGAACTTAGAACTGTTAATTCTAAGAAAAGTTTCTTATCATATCCTCATATTAGACTGATTTCTGAAGGATCATGCGACACTGAAGACTGGAGTAATGATGCTGAAAATTCAGCGTTTGCCCTCATAGGAATAAATTACATTTTAAAATATATTACAGTTTTAAATTGAACCTATATTTCAAAATATTACTGTTTCTAATGCATTTTTAATCAAATAAATGGAGTATTGTTGAGTATAAAAGATTTCTTTCAGCAAAAATCTCAAACAAAAAATCTTCCCAACCCTAAACTTTTGAAAAGTAGTGTAAATTGTGTCAAAAATGATAACATCATTTAATGCCAGACATGTGATTTTTTTTGGAGGTTTAATATGCTTTTAATATTGTAGGCTATTTCAAAAAGTATTAAAAGAAGCTGATAGAGAGCACACTGCAGATAAACAGAAATCCTGTTTACCCTAACGAAGAAAGTGAACTGTGTAGCAACTGTAAAAGATTCAAATATTCCTCAAGGCAGAACTCTGATGTGTGGTTTTCAGAATCATTTATTGGGTGAAGAAGGACATTCAACCGTTCCTTCATGCTGAACAAAATCCCCAGGTTGCTCTGTATACGAGGAAAGAGAGATTTCGCATTTTTTGGTCTATTATTTTCCTCGCTCTTGCCAGTTCACGCCGTGGTCTTACATTAGGGGTTGAATCCTTGAAAAACCCACAAAGCACAGTTGGTGCTCAGAAAAGGCCATTCATTTTGGACAAAAATATGTTACATTCTGAACAAAATCAGGTCAGATTATAAACAAGTAAACATTTTGCCCTAATGCTGCCTTCAAATCCAAAATGTATATTCATAACTATGATTTGGTCAGAATAACATGGACGCATAGCTTCCACCATGATTCTTGAATTCCCAAATTCAGAGGTTCCCATTGGTTGCTAGTACGACATTGTAGTTTAACATATGATGATTTCAACAGGACCCGAAGGCAGCATAACAGATCAAAATGCATTTACATATGAAATTTTTGTTCCTCTAGGTACATTTATGACACAAAATAGCAGTAGATTACATTCAAATGAAAGAAACTGAGTATTCAAAAGAGTTTTATCTCATTCCAGTGCAGAGGGGTAGAGCTCTTGTAGCCCAAATACAAACACGTGTCGACAAGGGGAACACACTAATGCATTATTAGTGTCTATTGTGTAAGAACGCTGCACCACAGTGAATTTCACAGACTTTGATCTGGCCTTTGTGCACAACAAGTTGAAAGATGAAATGAAAGCATCCATGTAACACAGCGAGACTGAGTGCGAGCGACAGGCCCAGCGGTGCATTTAGACGTGAAACACAGAAACGATGCCGAGGACTACATTTACATAAAGTGCCCCATATATATATATACATATATATATATATGGCACTGCTTTACTTCAACACAAATGTATGGTTTGAAGTCGTCTAAATAGATCAAGCACAAATAAAATCAGAAAGCACACAAGTGAATCTCACGAAAACATCTCCAGGTCTGTTCTTTAGGACCATTACTCCTTTTTTGTTGTTGTTTTGTGACATTATTTTTATGATAATAAGCACATTTCCCATTTTCAGTTTTTTTTTGGAGTTCTCAGAGTTGATTCTCATTATTGTAATGACTGTAATACTGTTTTTATTTCAAGAAAATTACAGTAAAATGATATTTACGTATAAAAGCAATGAAGGCAGTACTACACATACTACCAGGACTACCATAAACACTTCACAATAACAAAAATATATATTTTGCATTACGCTAATGAGAATCTATGGGAAATGTGCTTAATTTGAATTAAAATAATGTTACAATGCAAAAATGGGATTAAAAATAGGCTTCATTTTCTTATGCAAAATATATTTTTTTCTTTTGATTTTGGAGGGAAATATGACCTTGACCGGTTTCGTGAGATTCACCCATTTGTAGCATCAAACTGTCAGATAAAACAAACTAACTGACGTTGCGCTTAAACAAGTGCAAACGCTGTCAACCTCATTAGTGCCTATCAGTATTTCAGTTTCATCTCAACTAACATTTTTTTTTTTTTTTTTTTCAATGAAACATTATTAAAAAAGTATAGCACACATTCCCGGTCGAGTTCTCACAGTTAATCTCATAACGCCATGTTCATGTCAAAATCCTTCATAAACGTTTCAAAGACACCACTATTTGGGATTCACAAACTGAATGAAATCAAACTAGCTTGACGAGGTGAACCACTGCAGCCAGACCATCTCCTGGGAGCTTCAGAGAGCTGCAGGTCAGTCCTTGGCGGCTTTGCTACTTTAAGGTTTCTGGATGTCAGATCTGCTGGAGACGGCAGCTGCTGAGGGACGGCTATATTAAAGAAGATTTTTAAAAAGCGAATGTTCCCTCCACTAATCTCTGGATCACCGACACAGACATAAAGACACTTCTGTCTGAATGCCTCTCCATATGTGCAACGTCACGGTCTAGCTCATTCATTAAGTTTTAATAAAGCTTATGTTGAAACTATGCAGTTGAAGTTTTTCAGGGGTTTGAAGGGAATCAGCCTATACACAACATGACAAAAGCTCAAAGCGTAAATGGCAAAAAAATCCATCTTTTACTGCAGTTCTTAAAATACCTATGAGTTTGTGGAGAGAAGAAGTTTTTGAAGGACGCGACACAGAGAAAAGCACATATAATATCAACAAGAAAGTTTTGCTTCAGCCAGAGCCGCAAATACTCTATTTTCACCTTGAATGTGCAGACTGATTTTTTTCTTTTTCTAATTACAGTCATTTTAGTTATTGGTCAGGCTGACAGCAAAGTCTCAACAAACATAAAGCAGAATAGAGGACGAAATAATCCTCCTTAACGTGTGTTTCTTTTGAACCATCTTTGTAAGTTCCCAGAGCAGTATTGGGACGTGGGTTACCTCTACAACGAGAATGCTTCCAAATTGACAGACGTGTCCTTAGGAATCAAAGAGACGGTCTTCACAAATCTCCAGTGCTGCTTTTGTGGCACCGCCAAATACCTCCACGTTGGCATCGGCCCACGGCACCACGTTGCCAGGCATGTAGGCTGAGCAGTTGGCCATAGCAGAGATGTCTATAGGACGCAGGACTCTGTCCCAAATGTTGAAGTGGCTTAACTCTCCTACGAAGGCTTGAGTTGCATCAAATCTTCCACCTACGATGTCCTGTGGAATAACAGCACATGTCACTAAACTAGGGATACAGTAAAAACAGTAATATTATGAAGTATCATTACAATTTTAATTAACTGTTTTCTATTTGAATATATTTTAAAATGTAATTTATTCCTGTGATGCAAAGCTGAATTTTCAGCATCATTGCTCCAGTCTTCAGTGTCACATGATCCTTCAGAAATCATTCTAATATGCTGATTTGCTGCACAAGAAACATTTCTTATTATCAATTTTGAAAACATCTGTGCTTCATAGTTTTGTGGAAACTGTGATACATTTTTTCAGGATTCTTTGATGAATAGAACATTAAAAAAACATTTATGTGAAATAGTCATTGTTGAATACACTTGTGCTGCTTCATATGTTTGTGGAAACCATCATTATTTGATGAATGGAAAATTCACAAGAACAGCATTTACTTGAAATAGATATATTTTGTAGCATTATAAGTATTCACTTTTGATCAATGTATGTAATGCATCCATGTTGCATAAAAATACCAGTATCTTTAAAAAAAAATCGTAACCCCAAACTTTTGAATAGTAGTGCTAACAGACATACTGTCCTCAATCTGTGAAACATTTTATATGTCAGTTTTTGGATGGACTTTATTTTACAGTATGTCTGTTTACAATTTACTTACCTAAGAAAGTACTGGGTAATAACTACAAGGGTTAAGTTTAGGTTTAGGGGTAGGTTCAGAGTAAGTACCTAGTTATTGCCATCAGTATAATTAATACGGGTTACACTTTATTTTAAGGTGTCCTTGTTAAAGTGTAATTACACATTTAAGTACTGAGTTATTAACAGAATATTATAGATTGTAATTGTAACTGTAGAATATTAATTAACTACATGTACTTACTATATGGTTAGGGTTAGGTTTAGGGTTTGGCTTAGAGTTACTTGCATGCAATTATGCATAATTAATTGTTATTATAATAGTAAGTACATGTAACGTGTGTAACAAGCACACCTTAAAATAAAGTGTTACCTAAGTACATATTATGTGGAACAGGACTGTAAAATAAAGTGCTACCCATTAGTTTTATTTCATTGTTCTTTTCATTTCATTGCTTTCATATCTTTAGAGCACTGAACACATGAGCACTACACATTCAGGCAGAAGCCATTGTGTTTTTGAGTGTCCTGTCACAAGGGCTACGTTTTAAATTTGACCATAGTCCTATGTTGAACCATTAGAAACCAAGATTCTCATAATTTCACTTTCAGGAAAGGTTTATTAATCAACTCATTGTTCAGGCAACGTACAAACTGTATTACCAGCTGATTTTGAAAATACAGTATGTAGCTTTACACATTTCTAAAATCTTTGACTATCAGTGTTTTTAAAAACTCAGCAAACTGGGACTCTGCTCTGATCCAAACTCTAATGAGCCGCCTTGCTGTCTGCTACAGTATGTAACCTTCTAATGCTAACTGATGGAAGCTCACAGGAGACTACACTAAAATCCTCTGCATGGGAAATTCTGCTGAGACCTGAAGTTAGTTAATCTGTCTACATACTTTGTAGCTAGCAGGCTGAATAAAAACACATTAGGTGTGATTCTACATGCCAGTCAACCCAACATCAGCCAAATCCATGGGTTTAGCCTGCTGGATAAGGAAGCCAAGTTGATATGGCCCAGTTTGGCTTGACAATCATTCATAATCAGTAGCCCAGTGGTGCTGGGTTGGGAATGAGGCATGAATGAGATCACGCATATCATGCATGTTCAAACGGTTCTTTGAGTGTCGAGGCCACTTTGATTATCCGTTTTTGTGGCAATATAAGAAAACTAACTGAAGCAGAGAAAAGAGAGGATTTTGAAACTGTCTGAAATAAGGAACGCAGGTTTTTTTTTTCTTGCGTTAAAACCAGTTGAGTAGTGACCAGGAACTGAAACAGTCAGAATGCTGATTAAAAATGCTTTAAATGCAGACAGTAAGATCTTGTTGATTTACATAGCTTTTTCCTTTTTTTCTAAACTTCAATGTTTATTACAGGTTTTCAGTCTGTGCGTTTCTTGGCGGCACTCTACACCTTATGCTTTGGCCATAGTAGGTCTATTTTTGTTGGCAGAGAATAAAAAATGTACAAAATAACTGCATTTTTTAGAGTTTGTAGCTTAACTAGTAGATTATGAGAATAGTAATGCCAAGGACGTAGGTTCAATCCTTAGGGAACTGATTAAAATTCATACCCTGTATGCACTGCCAAAAGCAGTAAAAGCATTACTAATGAAGTTGATGAATTCTGTGATGTTTGATCGTTATTAGTTCTAAAACAATCCATTTGTTTAATAAAATGACAGAATGTGTATGATAATATCAACATATCAAACATCAAAATGAACTTTGCATATAAGACAACTGTCAATCCTTCAGAGCAATGCAGTTCAATTAAGGTTCTTTGTTGGCACTGATGTTTCCATGAAGAAGCTTCAACATCCATGGAACTTTTCCATTGCACAAAAGGTTCTTAACGCCCCATTCACACGGGGCATCGGCGTCAACGCCTCTCATTTACTTTGAATGGAGTTACGTCAAGCGTTGCCGAAATGAATTGTGGGTCCGTCGCATCGCGTTGGGTCCGTTGCTCGAGGCAGAAGTTTAAAACTTTTTAACTTTTCAAGCGCCAACGCAGGCGTCAGCCAATCAGATCGCCTTATGCAAATACCCTGGTGCAGACGCTAGCCAATCGCATTCATACAACACCAGAAAACTAATGTGATTGGCTGTTGTCACTATGACGGTCGCGTCAGCACCAAGCTTCAGAAACGCCCTACTTCAAGGGCGCCCCGTGGAAAAAAAGTTCTTTAAGATTATTAGAATGTTCTTCACACTAAGAAAAGTGTTTTTTAAGAACTGTTTATTGTAAGGTTCTTTGGGGAACCAAAAATGGTTCTTCAATGGCATCAATATGAAAAAACACCTTTTGGAACCTTTATTTTAAAGAGTATTTTAAATAAATATGTAGCTTACAACACAAGCATATTCATTTTTAAAAGAGTTCCAATTTTACTGCACAACAGGAATGGCCCAGGGGTTTAAAAGACAATTAATATTCAGCAGGATTATTGCTTTAACTGCACTGACACTATCAGATGAGAACAAAATTTGAACTAACTTTGCAACATCGACACTTACTGAACTGAAATGAATCAACACTGAACTGAATAATGAGCTGAATAATGACACTATTATCTTCTGTAGAGCCGCTTTTTTTTTACACAACAGTAACCCTGTTATATGTGTTTATTATATCTGTATTTTATAAAGGGTTATGTAAACAAATGTGACTTGATTTGACCCAGCTAACAGCTATTATTCTATCACTTCTTGCAATTGAGGTCACAGATTGTGCTTTTTTATGCACTGTTAAGCAGTGTGAACGCACTCAATGATCAAAGTAGCTCAGTGTAGGTGACCAACAGATTATGTGTCACATGTGGATTTTGTGTGCTTGCTATCTGTGTCACATGTAACATTTCTCTCAAGAAGTCCCTGAGCTCTCAGTGCTGCTGAGAGGTGACGTCTTCTCATCATCGCGTGTGAAGACTTATTATTATCGTTGCATGTCTTCCTCGTGAGGGATCAGCTCTTTTACGTTCTCTCTCACCCTCATGCGCTCACCTGTTCTTGGCCCAGGATAATGACTCCTCCAGGTTTAATTGGGTGCCAGGGGGCCAAGTTCTCTCCAGTCCCTAGTCTCTCTCCATCCTGATAGGCCTCCCAGAAGCCGTCTCTGGTTGTCCAGGTGATGCAGATGTGATGCCAACGGCCGTCACTCACGGAGAGAGGAAGCTGAGCTACCTGTGACAGAAAGGACCAAACCGTAGGGGGTTATTACTTTGGAAACTGATGGTAAAAAGTGCATATTTAAGAAGAAGTAACTGCTTTCACAGTAATTATTCAGTAGATGTATGCCGGTTTCCTCCATTGTGTCCCTACAGACATAATCCTGAAATGCCTCACTCTAACTCACTTCCCATCAAAGAATATAACTAGATTTGCTAAAGAAAAAGTGTAAGTGTGTTAGTCGCTGTCACAATGCTAAGGTGTTTTGAGCTGTTATGTGGTTGCTAAGGCTGTTCCGGGTGGTTGGCCTTGTTAAAAGTGTCCAGCCTCGATCCCTAGATATGACTCAAGTTCTTCCTTACATGCAAGTCTATGAGTCTGATTGCTTAGAACTATAATATCACACCTCTGCTCAACAAGCTGCACAATTTGAGGTGACATTCATGTCCGTAGCACAACAGGGTGTTACGCACCAAATTTAACACTCAAGAGAGTGGGTTTGTTCAGATTGTTAAAATAAGCTGAAAAAAGTTTTTCAGCAGTTTTTAACCGGCGAATTACAGTTATTTCAATTGTAATCCATATGATTTGGAATTTTATGCAAGGATGAAAAATGTCCTCACACAGATTTTGCAATGTTAGTCACTTGTATTTGTCATGTTGACCAACAGAAAGCTGCTTGGTTTGGAAATGACTTCTGTGTAAGCTGCACTTCAGACACAGACTACTGAAAACAGGAAATAGACCGCTTCTGGCCAAAATATGAGTCCATAATCCATAATAAAGCTTCCTCCAGTAAAAAAAAAAAAAAAAACCCTGTTGTCCTCTCACATTAAAAAACCTCAACATGTTTGTTTTTCATACTGTTTTGAACAGTTTTTGCTTGTACACGGTGATTGATCTGTGCATATTTCTCTCCTGATTCAGAGGAGATGACTTTTTCACTGGAGAAAGCAATATTATGGATTATGGAATCATATTTTGGCCAGAAGCAATGGTTTGAAGTTAAAACGTCTTAATGATGGATTTGTTTCTTACAAACACACCGTTTTTCACTTCACAAGACAGTAATTGATGGACTGGAGTGGTGTGTATTACTTGTGGATTGTTGTGATGTTTTTACGGCACCCATTCACTGTAGAGGATCCATTGGTGAGCAACTGATGAAATGCTAAATTTCCTCAAATTTAGTCAATTTTCAGGAAATTTTCATTTTAGGTTGAACTATTCCTGAGTACACTTTGTTCCATTGACTTCTATTCATACAGATGCAAATGGGGGAGATAGGAAACACAAGCTTATGCGAATTTTGCTGCGTTCCAAAGTTTAAGTTCAGGGAACTCTGACCTTCAAGTTCATTTTACATCGTCTTCACACGTCATCGTGTGACCTCTTAGGGTTTGGATTACAGCGTTGCAGTAAAGTAGAGTAGATTGCATATTTTTACATTGTCAATTGTGTTATGTTTGACGTCATATTATGACCGTTGCAATGTCTGTAGAAATTTTGCATGCTCAATGTCTAGTGTGCAGCTTAAGGGAGGCTATAAAGTGTCTGGATGAATCATCATAACATAAATTGCCCACTATAAAGTTGTATCTGACACCCCACATACTTTAAAATAGTTTATATAGTTAATCTCCAAGCTAGACGCACACTGAGTTTGACAGCTACTGCACCTTGAGACTAGGCCTTTAATGCACTTAAGTTGAGCAGTATGCAGAAAGTATGAAAACACAACATTCAGACACAAGTAACGAAGCACTGAGGTGTGATGCATTCACTGGAGTGGGAAAAAGCACTGAAGACACCCTCGACAGGTAATCACATTCAGCATGGCAGCTTCTCTCTCGATCCACGTCACTTTCTTGTTCTTTCCAGCTTGACGTACACGCTCACACACACACACACACACACACACACACATGAGTACACGCACACACTGTACATGTATAATGCATGTTGTGCAGGGCTGCCGGGCAAGATGCCTCTCTCATTTAGCAAGATGCCAAACTGACACTTCCTGAGTGAGGTATCAGGGGAATTAGCAGGGCAGCAGAGCTCATTCGTTCTTTTCCAATCTCTCGCTCTCTCAAGACCCTCAGGTTACACTCAACAAAAACCAGTGATGGTGCAATCTCCTTCACAATGATCCAGAGATACAGCATCTATGGTTACTGAGACATGCTAACCTCATTTATGGATGAGATATTGGAAGCTAATTTTCCCCAAAGAAAAGCAGCTCAGTTTCATATTCTTGATTTAGAACCACGAAGGACATATTTAATTAATTTATGTGTGCTTTAATACTAAACTTTGAAATCATCAAGGGTCTTGTGCAACAACAGCCTCTGAAAGCTAATCAACTAACTTTGAAAATCTTTTTGTGTGTCTCTCTGCAGCCAACATGCATAGTCAACACGCAATATCTTTAAGAAATGGGTTTGTTGAAGTTGTACAAAACAATCCAATTGCAAAAATCCAATTTCAAAGGTCCTCATGCATTTTAAAAATGTCTTCCAATAATAGTATGGCGAACTTTTTAGGTACTTTTTTTTTTGCATGATTTATCTTTATATGGTATTTCAAAAATTTTTGATGGATGGATCAACTGGGTATTCAAAACTAGTGGAGTATCCTGTAAAAATCTAAAAAATTCATTTTTACAATTAACTCTTTCCCCGCCAGCATTTTTGAAAAAAGTTGCCAGCCACCGCCAGCGAATTTTCACTAAAAGTTGATGGCCTCCAGTATATTTTGCTGTATGAATATTTGAATATGCAATACACCAAAATAAAGATCAGAGCCTTTACTTTTAAACCCCAATTTTTTTGTTTATTCTAGCTTAAAGCATTCTTTTTTTATCAACACTTGAATATAGGTAGGTTTGTGATGTGTAATAGCGCCCCCGAGTGTATAACAGTGAAAACACAAAAAGCCGTAAAAACTCGTCTTTGGCGGGGAAGCGTTTTCTTCTAAAAGACGAGATAACTCGTCAATGGTGGGGAAAGAGTTAAGGAAAAGATGGGTACCGATGGGTGTTGGTGCAAAAAGCACTACAGTGTTCTTTATTACATTCTGGTCTCTGGTAGACGCTCACTGATGCTCCAGAAGGAAAAACCATGCATTAAGAGCTGAGGGAGGGGGGTGAAAATTTTTGAACAGAATGGAGATGTGTACATTTTTCCTATTTTGCCTAAATATCATATTTTTTCATTTAGTACTGCCCTTCAGAGGCTACAGACGACAGTTACATGTTTCTCAGAAGATAAAATAAGGTAAATTTACCCTGATCTTCAAATTGTCCTTAAAGCATCATGTTTCCTTCTGGAGCATCGGTGAGCATTTGAACCTTTTGTAATAGTTGCATACGAGTCCCTCAGTTGTCCTCAGTGTGAAAAGATGGATCTCAAAATCATACAGTCACTTTTGGAAAAGGTTCAAATATGCAGAAGATGCTGGAAAACCAAAGAATGTGCAGGAGCTAGGGGATTTTTCTGAATAACAGCAGGCAGTTGAACTGCTCAGGACCAACGCAGGACTCATGAACAACTATCACAAAACAGAAAAAGAGTCGTGGATCATCCAGGAAACGACACAAAGTATTAAGATTCAAGGGTATGCAAACTTTTGAACAGGGTCATTTTTATAAATTCAGTTATTTTTTTCTTGTGGAGTCTATATACACATCTGTTATGTGAAATAGCTTATTCAGGACAGCACTAAATAAAAAATAACATGCAATTTTCACGAGCTCTCTTATTTTGTTCAAATGCAACTTATGAGCACAACTGTATATATACTTTTTAACCACAAATGCTCATCTTGCACTAGTTCGATTTCACACATTACATAGTCATGTTGGAAAGGTCATACGTGATGTAGGTGACCATCGGTTCTGTACCGACCCAGTGTTTACAAAGCGAATGTGCAAAGACTAGCCTAAGTCAAACGCCCTTTACAAAAAAAGGTAAAACAATGATGTCAGACAATTTTGAAGTTGGAGGAGAAAATGATATGGAGTTTTTCGCCCTACCCTACCTTTTTGAACCGGAGTGCTCAGACTAAGTACTAACCACGTGTGACCTTTCCAACATGATTACATAATGCGTGAAGTCATGGATATGCATCACAGAGCTAGTGCAAAACGAGCATTTGTGGTTAAAAAGTACATAGATTTTTAATTTTTTTTTAGAAAATGACTGATCGTTTTGCTAGATAAGACCCTTATTCCTCGGCTGGGAACGTGTAGAGCCCTTTGAAGCTGCACTGAAACGGCAATTAGTCCACTATATGGAGAAAAATCCTGGAATGTTTTCCTTAAAAACCTTAATTTCTTTTCGACTGAAGAAAGAAAGACTTGAACATCTTGGATGACAAGGGGGTGAGTAAATTATCAGGAAATTTTCATTCTGGAAGTGAACTAATCCTTTAATCCTTGTAATGAGCAATTTTCCAATTTTATATATGTCTCTGAGCTATGCATGGTAAAACTTGTTTGAAATTTTGTGTTGCATGTATGACAAATAGTGTATTTGTGTGTGTGTGTGAGCATAGTAGTTGTCCTGAGCTGTGACAAATGAATTTTTAAAAGTACAAATGTTCAGTGTAGCCTCTCAATTAACATACGTTCAAGAAAACTACACAACAATTATACATTTGATACAATACATGCAGTTTAAAATAGTTTTAGATGAAATTGAACATCTCACAACACATGGCAGTTTAATTAGTATTTGACCTTCAAGCCCCTTCATGTAATTTCTATTAAAATAAAAATCAGGCTGTGAAAACCTTTTATTTGAGAAACCTTTGGGTACTATTTAAAATGAACTATCATATTTTTCTATGAATCACATTTAGACAAGTGTTATTTTTAAGACTAAAGCACCTATGATATAATGCCAGGTTTGTTTTCATTGCCAACAAAACAATTATTAATTTAATGAGATTATTATACATTCAATACTAGGGAAATCTAACATTGTTCCAATGAAACACAATGAATAAAAACAGGAATAGCTTTGCTGTATCTCATAAAGGCTCACCTTATCATTGACGAGCAGCTCCATGGGGCTGTTTCCCCACTCTATCAGCACAATCTCATTGGCTTGTCCCGGGACGCCGTAAGAGAATGGGGTTCCGATTCCAGGACTGGCACTGGACTTGAGCCACATACACACGGTGAAGGCATACATCTCTGGCAAGCTCTTCTTGATGCGGCCATACAGGTAGTTGGTGCGCAAAGGCAGAGACACCTTAAAGTCCTCTGGAGATTTGAATGCACTGTTACCTGCGAAGAGAATCGAGGGAGAGGTTTGCATTGAAGGACAGGAAGATGCAAACTGCTGACCTGAGATTGTGTTAATTTGATTTCGGCAAATTGAATCTGAGTAAGGCTTTCAGGCGCAATGAATGAAATGAGCGATCAACGCAGGCTCACGTAATTGTTTTAATATGAAATGACATGCTGGGGCTATGTAAGGTGAAATAATGATGTAGCTGCTGATGATGCTTTGGCGTTAATCAGTCGCTTTGCAAAAGTGGATCGATTTGTGCTAACACTGATCTGAATTCTGAATACAACAGGACAATATGCCCATCCAGTTCTAACAGATGGGACCTGCATAAATCCCATATCCAAAAAGGCCAAAAGGCGCGGTAAAGGCAAACAAATGATTGTAAATAGCAAGTTCATTTACATGCAGACATTCTCACACAAAACTAAATCTGCCACAGCCAACACATTCTGCCACAATGGTACTTTTGGTATATGGTATATCTTTCAACATAAAATTGGCCCAATGCAATGAAGTTTATGCAGTGAAGCGTTAGCTAAAGGTTTCCCCTGATGCTGTGCTGAGCGCTGGTCAAGCGTTTAAAGTTCCAACAGTGACCTTTCAAAGTGCAGCCAATGATTTACAAGCAATCTGCATGATGGATGCAATGCTGCCTTTGCCTGGACTGCTCCCCATAATTTTGCACCTTAGTTGAAATTTACCCATGTTTATTAGTTTATATTACAATTCACAATTTTGGGGTCAGTAAGATTAAAAAAAATACTTTGATTCATTAAGGAAGCATTCAAATTAAGTAAAAGTGACAGTAACAACCTGATCTCATGACAAAAACGTACCTGTGGGAACTTTTTCGCAAGATGCGAAATACGTAGCGCCATGTACGTTTCGTGACATATTTGATGTGAAATGTCCACTGAGTGGCGCTAAAAGAGTGTTCGTTTTTTTCTCCGGAACAGATGAACTTTTATGTGACGTTGCTTTTGTAAGTGTCACCGCAGTTCTGAAGTGAAATGTCCGTTGAGTGGCGCTATAAGTCTAATGCTCTGTGACATTTTAAAATAACATACCATCTGTACTACACCTAAACCTACCTGATAATATGAACAAAAGCGAATGTGACGTAAAAACACAATCGCGAGCATGCCATTTTAGCTTGTTTTTCGATCTCTTATCTTTCAGCTCTTTCATCATGAGGTTTTTGACGGGTTCGTACCCAAGGATTCTGCAGTCTAAGTCCAATTCTGTGACGGCTGAGCTACCGAGAAAGCTTGTTTCAGCCGTAAAGTTAAACATATGGAGGTGTAATCATAACTGTGCACAAAAACGATCACAAATGCTCGCTGTTTTACCACCTGTAGTGTTAATTTCTGTTGGAAACTGCAGTGATATGCAACTGAATGCTTTTTTAAAAATGTTCTATTCATCAAAGAATCCTGAAAAAGAAAATGTATTGCGGTTTTCACAAAACTAAAAAATAATAAGAAATGTTTCTTCAAATCATCATGTTAGAGTGATTTCTGAAGGATCATGTGACACTGAAGGCTATAGAGTAATGATGCTGAAAATTCAGCTGCGCATCACAGGAATAAAAACAGAAAACCATTATTTTAAAATGAAACAATATTTCACAATATTACTGTATTTTTAATCAGGTAAATGCATCCTTGGTGAGACGTCTTTCAAGACCATTAAAAACCCTTTCTGACTTCAAAGTGTTGAACGATATTTATTTAATTATTTAGTTATTGTTTGTTTTATTGTTTTTTTCCCCCCAATACTTTCTCATACCTTGTTTGCTGTCATGCGATGTTTGTTTAGTATGCTTTCCCCTCAAGGACTGCTTTTGTTTTGTGATATATCAAAACAATCGGCAGGACTTTTTTCTCTTTTAAGCTCAAATACATATTTTCGCTGTGAATATGTGTATATCTCATGTGGAGTTCAAAGTGTATGGCGCTTACATTGAGTGAGAAAGGGCTTTGACTACTCTACCTATCCGATACTGGGGACAGCAGGTAAAAAGAGATGTTTTGAACTGGTAGGGCAGCACATCAGTAAGAGAAAATAATGGATTCTATCTCATTTGACATGACTGACTGAATAATTCATGTCTGATAGCAGCCGTACTTTTCTCCAGCTCGGTGATCCTCTCCAGCAGTGAGTTGAGGGTGTTCTCGGTGCGCTGTCGGTGAGCGGTCGTCTCGTTGTACAGCTGGCTCTTTTCCTCCTCGAGTTCGGTCACTCTGGTCAGCAGCTGGCTCTCCAGGTCAGTCAGACGGTGCTTCAGCAGGTCTCTCAGCTCATTGGGAAACATCCCACCTGATGTGTTGGCACGCAGCTGCTGCTGCAGGACAAAAGACACCAAATATTAATCTGCCTCGTGCTGTTACAGCCAGAAATTGTTCATAATGAACTGCTGGGGATTTGTGAGATGCTGAATTAATGTTGAACGCTTTAAGGGGGTCCCACTACTATGTACTTCCATCAAATGATATTTAATATTAAATTATATTTAGATGCATGTAACATTTAAATGTTTATTCAAGTCAAAAATATAATTTAAAATCACCGAATCAACTTAATTACATTAATTTATACCAAACAAACAATTTTTTTATGGGTTGAATCAAGTAGAAATATCTCTTTATGTTAAAAATGGAAGGTTACCACATTTTCATTGTAGATACAATGTACGTATTGTATTCAGTGCTGCACTACAAAACACTTGTGACTATTGAGGTGTGAAGCATGTAACGTTAGGAACAGGTTTATTAGTATGCTTTCAGGGTGGGTTAAGAACAAGGGTCATCAGTGATATTATAGGTTACACTTAATTTTAAGGTGTCCTTGTTACAGTGTAATTATACATTTAAGTACTGAGTAATATTAATTAACTACATGTACTTACTATATGGTTAGGATTAGGGTTTGGCTTAGGGTTACTTGCAAGTAATTATGCATAATTAATTGTTATTATAAGTACATGTAAAATGTGTAACGAGGACACCTTAAATAAAGTGTTACCAAATTATACTGTAGTTGTAATTACAGGAATTAATTAGAGATGTAATTACAAGAAGGCATTTTTAAATATAAGCACACTGTAAAAACATGTATGTACACAATAATTGTACATAGTAGTTGAAGACACCATGTGGGTCAATTTTTTTAATCAAAATGGTTGTTATTCAGTTTGTAGTTTTGTTAAATTAGTTTATTACATGTAGAGTTAAATGAAATAAACTAATTTAACCCCACCAGAGTGAAAATTTGTATTCATTTTGATCCAGTGACCCTGTATGAATTCAAGTAGTTAATATCGGTAATATTCCATATCCACTTGGCTATTAACAAGAAGTGATATGTCAATTGAGTAATACACCAAAATCTTCCAACAGCCTTGTCAATTGGTGCATTTAGTTTCAGCAATTCTGTGAATGTATAATTTGCTCTTTTTGTATTTTGCATGCAGCTATCTGCATTGTGATTGAAAAAACGCAGTGGTCACTGATTGCAATTTCAACTAAAACACTCTTGGTTCCAAAATGGGGTTTGTGCATCGATGCCATAAGAACCATTTTGGGTTCCCCAAAGAACCTTTCAGTTTACAGTTCTTAAAAGAACCGCTTTTTTTTCGCGGCTTGAAGGACATTTTAATAACTAACTTTATAATTTTCACTATAAATAACTTTTAGTGGTTCCATGGATGTTAGATGTTCTTAATGGAACCATCGATGCCAATTAAGAATCTTTATTTTTAAAAGTGACGAGCAAAGTTCTTTGCACTATCAGTATATCGTTTAAATAATTGCTAAGTCTGTATCTGTTCACTACTTCCCATCTACAATATCAAAGCTCATTATTAATATTTCATTCAAATCGTGAATTCAAATAGAAAAAGTCCCTCCCTCCCTCTACGTAACATGGCTCATATGACCTTGTTTTGACAGGCGTAAATCAAGCATCACTAATAAGCAGTGTTGGGGAAAGTTACTTTTAAAAGTAATGCATTACAATATTGCGTTACGCCATAAAAAAGTAACTAATTACGGTACTTAGTTACTTTTTATGGAAAGTAATGCGTTACGTTACTTTTGCGTTACTTTTAAAATCTGGACAGGGCTTGCTTTTTTGTTTTTAAAATAAAAAAAGTTATATTTTTTGGCAAATATAAAAGCCTTTTCACACCAAAAGTGAAATGAATAAACCTCAGGCTGAAGGGAAAGTAAATTTACGTCCGTACAGTAGAATGCAGAAGAAGAAATTTCAACACACTTCAGCAATAAAAAAAAGAGACACAAATGTTTGTCTAGAGTAATTTTGGCTTATTAGTATGGTTGAACTGGATCATCGAAGGTCAGAAGCAAAGAATGGGATTAAATATTTCTCTCAACATGGGGACAGGAGAGCTGTCAGTCAATAAATTGGAGGAAAAAAAAGTAACGCATTACTTATTTGAAAAAGTAACTCAGATATTCTCTTGTAAATTAAAAAGTAATGAGTTACTTTACTAGTTACTTGAAAAAAGTAATCTGATTACGTAACTCGCGTTACTTGTAATGCGTTACCCCCAACACTGCTAATAAGTAAGACCAATTTTCACAGATCATTAGAGCTCTATTTTCCTTAAAAGCATCACAGATGGCTCTTAAGTGCCCATGATCACTCATCAGCATAAACTCTCACCTCCAGGTTCTCCAGACGGTCTTTGAGGCTCTGCATGGTCTTGCCCAGCTGCTCCACAGTCTCGGTGGGGTCACGCGGCAGATCGCCCATCGTGTTTTTACTATAATCCTTCCTGCGCGCGCTGCCCCGCGACTTGGCGTCCGCCTCGCAGCGCGCGAGTTTGGAGTTGAGCTCTTTGATGGTGCCCTGCTGACTGACGATAGTTTCCTTCTGCTGCAGGATGGTCTCTCGAAGCTGAATGATAGTATTCCGCAGCTCTTCCTCCTGCGGACTTGTGCTTTGGACCCGGTTGGTCGTTTCCACCGGGCAACTGAGGTCGGTGCCCGCTGGCACGGCGGTGCACACGAAGCGGTTTCCCTTCGCGCCAGCCACTTTCCCGCTCCCTGACGCGTATAAAAGCAGCAGTGCCACAAAAAGAGCTCTCATTACGACCGTTTGTCTCTTAAAAGCTGGAGTAAATTCAAGTTAGTTAGTTTGTTATTTAAATAAAATGCCTAAAGGTCCACGACTTCGCGCTAATAAAAATCACGCAAAACAAGCACAAGACCGAAACAACACAGATTAGCTGTAGTTAGCCTGGAAATCCAAAGCTTTTCCCAGTACAAACCGAGTGCCGCTCTCTTCGCACAGTCAGTGAATATGTTAAAACAAACTGTTGGAGTCCTTCTCACAGACGCGTCACGCGCATTTAACTACCTGTCACGTTAACAGAATCACTCACAAACAGAAACAAGTAGCTGTCCAAACGAAGAGCGATTTCCAGAGCGGTTTCTGGCGTTAAATGCCGACTGTCAGCGCTTTAAGTCTCTTCACACACAGTCGGTGGTGCTGAACGGACAGCGGCGCTTTACCGGATTGATATAGAGACTGAGGCGCGCGCAGTTTGGCTCAGCTGGAGAAGCGCGCGGATTGACTGAGCTTCATCTACGTCACTTACTCGCGCTTGATGCGAGTCACGCTTGTAATTTATATTGCCGTGTCTTTTTCTGGCCTCCCGTGAATGTTGCGTTGAATAAACAGTGCGCCGAGCAGATGCAGAGCGCTCATTAATAACCTGCAATTTCAGCCAATAACTGCTTCTCGGCCAATTTAACCCTCGTGTTCTGGAGAGATAACGTTCTTCACCTTATGTTTGGGTCCAAAGATGATTCATATGTCAAGTTAAACCACCTTGACAACAGTTGGTTAAACTTAAAAGGTTTAGAAAAGTGAAGTTAATTCTGGATAAGGTGGTTCTAAACCTTTTAATTGGTCCCCCACTGTCAAAATAAATATATGTGCCCTCATACAGAGATTTGTTTTGTCTTGTACTTCTGCTAAAATAACAAAAATATATATGTGTGTATGTATGTATTTATGTATATGTGTATGTATATATATATATATATATGTATGTGTGTGTATGTGTGTATATGTATATATGCAATGTTGGGGAAAGTTACTTTTAAAAGTAATGCATTACAATATTGCGTTACTCCATAAAAAAGTAACTAATTACGTTGTCTGCTAAATGACTAAATAAATGACTAAATAAATAAATAAAAATAAGGACTTAGCTGTGTCCCAATTACACTACACACTATAAACTTAAACTATTATTTTAAATTATTATGTTAATTACATGTTAAATGACATACCATACACTATACCAGGGGTGTCCAAACTCTTCCTAAAGGGGGCCAGATTCGATGATGTGGAAACACTGGGGGGCCGGATGCTTCTACCTATATATATATATATATATATTTATTATGTATATATGTGTGATGTTGAGTTGACAGTAGAGCTTGTGTTTTGTTTG